CTAGACATTGGATGTGTCCTCATGTTGATTTTATTATTTATTTGGCTGTTTCTTAAAAGAGATCTGGTCTTGTTTGTAGACTGAGTAGATAGAGCCAGTAGACAGAAAAATTTTGAAAATGCAAGAGCCTGGAATAACTATCACTGTAGTGATGTTAACTTGTTTATCACATTTAACCTTCACAACAGTTTCCATGAGGAAGTTACTTCATTGTATTGTGAAGTAATAGATTCAGAGAGATTAAGTAACATGCCCAAAATATGTTTAGAGAGATTAAGTAACATGCCCAAAATCACATATCTAATTAGCTGCAGCCAGGGGGGATGGCCAGAACAGGTAGGGGGAAGGCCAAGAAGTAAGCGGAGCATTTTGGAACAGCTAAGGGAGATGAACTTGTCTGTTAGTTTGTCATACTGTGGTAGCTTGCCTGTTGCTGTGAGGCTGAAGGCTGTGCCACTGGTGTTTCAAATGCCAGCAGGGTTGCCCATCATGGACGAATTTCATTGGAGCTTCCAGACTGATACAGACTGAGAAGAAGAAAGAGGCCATCTACTTCTCAAAGAATTGGCCAATGAAAACCTTATGAATAGCAGTGAAACACTGTTTGATGTATTACTGGACAACTTTGTGAATAGCCCTGAAACACTGTCTGATACAGTGCCGGAAGATGAGCCCCTCAGGTGAGAAAACACTCAGCACACAACTGGGCAAGAGCTGCCTTCTCAGAGTAGAGCTGACCTTAATGATATGGATAAAGTAGAGCTTTTGGGACCTCCATTTGCTGATGTGGCATGACTCAAAATGAGAAGAAACAGCTACAGACATCTATTAATAATCAGATCATGGAATGTATGAAATATGAATCTAGGAAAATTGGAAGTCATCAAAAATGAAATGGGATACATAAAGATCAATATCCTAGGCATTAGTGAGCTGAAATGGACTGATTTTAGCCATTTTGAATTAGACAACCATATGATCTACTATGCCAGGTGTGGTAGTTATGTTATGTGTCAATTTGGCTAGGCCTGGTTGAGTGGCTGGGCAGCTGGTGGTAGTTATTCCCCATGATGATACTGGCAATCAACTCCATGGTGGGATCTACCACAAGCAGCTGAGTAGCTGCCTTTGGAATATGGTCTGCTTCCTGTATATAAGGAGAAGCTGCTGGAATGGTCTCTAACCTTTGGCACACTTGGACCCTGCATGTAGCTGTGTCATTGCTCAGCACTCTGCTATATGCTCTGCTGACCTTGGGACTTAACAGTGGACTTAAGTTAATGGCCTGCCATGTGGATTGGTAACATCGGGACTGTGCCTTTTTACTTGTCAGCCTTGGGGCTTCTCAGCCTCAGCAGCCAGCAGCTGTCTGAGTGAGGAAATGCCTCTAGCTCCAGTGGGCCAGGAGCAGGAGGCAGAGCTGGACCCTGAGGTTGAGGGGCTTTCACCCAGCCCCTAGAGCCTGGCACTTTAAACTTGGACTTAAAGCCTCCAAATTATAAGAATAAATTCCTGTTTGTTTAAGCCATCCCATTTATGGTATATTTCTTGTCAGAGCGGCACTAGGTAACTAGAACACCAGGAATGACAAATTGAAGAGGAATGGCGTGGCATTCATCATCACAAAGAATGTTTCAAGATCTGTCCTGAAGTACAGTGCTGTTAGTGATAGGATAATATCCATATGCTTACAAGGAAGGCCAGTTAATACTACTATTATTCAAATTTATGCATCAACCACAGAGCCAAAGATGAGGAAATTGAAGATTTTTACCAACTTCTGCAGCCTGAAATTGACCAAACATGCAATCAAGATGTGATTATCACTGGGAAATGGAATGCAAAATTGGCAACAAAGAAGAATCACTGATAGTTGGAAAATTTGGCCTTGGTGATAAAAATGACACTGGAGATCGCATGATAGAATTTTGCAAGACCAATGGCTTATTCATTGGAAATAACCTTTTGTCAACAACACAAACGGTGGCTATACATGTGGATTTTGCCAGAGGGAATACACAGGAATCAGATCCACTATATCTGTGCCAAGAGATGATGGAAAGGGTCAGTATCTTCAGCCAAAATAAGGCAAGGAGCTGACTCTGGAACAGACCATTTCAACTACTTATATGCAAGTTCAAGTTGATGTTGAAGACAATTAAAACAAGTCTGCGAGAGCCAAAATTTGACCTTGAATATATCCCTCCTGAATTTAGAGAATGTGTAAAGAATAGATTTGATGCACTGAACACCATTGACCAAAAACCAGAGGAATCAAGAGATGACATCAAGAACATCATCCATGAAGAAAGCAAAAGGTCATTAAAAAGACAAGAAAGGAAGAAAAAATCAAAATGGATGTCAGCAGAGACTCTGAAACTTGCCCTTGAACGAAGAGTAGCTAAAGCAAATGGAACTAATGACAAGATAACAGAACTGAACAGAAGATTTCAAAGAGTAGCTTAGAAGACAAAATCATTTATTATAATGGAATATGCAAAGATATGGAGTTGGAAAGCCAATAGGGAAGAACACACTTGGCATTTCTCAAGCTGAAAGAACTGAAGAAAAAATTTAAGCCTTAAGTTGCAATATTGAAAGATTCCGTGGGCAATATATTGAATGATGGAGGAAACATCAAAAGAAGATTGAGGGAATACACAGAGTCACTGTACCAAAAAGAATTGGTTGATGTTCATCCATTTCAGGAGGTGGCATATGATCAAGAACCAATGGCATTGAAGGAAGAAGATGAAGCTGCACTGAAGGAATTGGCAAAAAACAAAACTCCAGGAATTGACAGAATACCCACTGAGATGTTTCAACAATCGGATGCTCTGCTGGAGGCACTCACTCGACTATACCAAGAGATTTTGGAAGACGGCTACTGGGCTAACTGGAAGAGATCCATATTTGTACCCATTCCAAAGAAAGGTGATGCCACAGAATGTGGAAATTACTGAGCAATATCATTAATCCCACATGCAGGTAAAATCTTGCTGAAGATAATCCAAAAATGGTTGCAGCAGTATATCGACAGAGGACTTCCAGAAATGCAAGCTGGATTCAGAAGAGAATGTGGAACGAGGGATATCATTGCTGATGTCAGATGGATCTTGGCTCAAAGCAAAGAATACCAGAAAAATTTTTACTTGTGTTTTATTGACTATGCAAAAGCATTCAATTATGTGGATCATAACAAATTATGGATAACCTTGAGAAGAATGGGAATTCCAAAACATTTAAGTGTACTTATGAGGAACCTGTACATAGACCAGGAGGCTGTCGTTCAAATAGAACAGGGGAACACTGCATGGTTTAAAATCATGCAGGGAATGTGTCAGGATTGTATCCTTTCAGCATACTTATTCAATTTGTATGCTGAGCAAATAATCTGAGAAGCTGGATGTGTTAGACTGGGTTCTCTAGAGAAACAAAACCATATATGTATGTATATACAACAAATGACAAATTCAAGATCTCCAGGCCAAATGGTGGAGTGTCTGCTCACGGACAGTTGTAGGGAGCACAACAGGCTCCCAATTCGCAGAAGAATGTCTCTTTTCCCAGAATGTCCATAGATATACTGGAAGCAGGCCACACCCCTAGAGAAACTCCCTTTCAACAGATTGCCTGCTCAAAGCATAATCATCTGATCCCACCATGGGAATAACCACATCACAGTAGCTTAAACCACACAGAATTGTGGTCCAGCCAAGTTGACACACAACTCCAACTATCACACTGGACTATATGAAGAAGAATATGGTATCAGGATTGGAGGAAGACTCATTAACAACTTGTGATATGCTGATGACACAACTTTGCTTGCGAAAGTGAGGATGACTTGAAGCACTTACTGATGAAGATTAAAGACTACAATCTGTAGTATGGCTTACATCTCAATATAAAGAAAACAAAAATCCTCACAACTGTGGACCTGTAAGCAGCATCACGATAAATGGAGAAAAGATTGAAGTTGTCAAAGAGTTCATATTACTTGGTTCTACAATCAGCACCAATGGAAGCAGCAGTCAAGATATCAGACGACATATAGGCATTGGGCAAATCTGCTGCAGAAGACCTCTTTCAGTTGCTAAGGAGCAAAGATATCTCCTTGAAGACTAAGGTGCGTCTGACACAAGCCATGGTATTTTCAATTGTGTCACAGGCATGTGAAAGCTGGACAATGGATAAGGAAGACTGAAGAAGAGTTGATGCTTTTGAGTTGTGGTGTTGGCAAAGAATGCTAAAAATACCACGGACTGCCAGAAGAACAAATAATCTATCCTGGAGGAAGTGTAGCTGGAATACTCCTTAGAAGCAAGAATGGCCAGACTTGATCTCACCTACTTTGGTCATGTTGTTCAAAGGGACCATTTTCTGCATGAGTAGGGTATCGTGCCTTGGTAAAGTGGAGAGTCGACGAAAAAGGGCAAGGCCCTCAACATTGGCACAGTGACTACAACGATGGGCTCGGGTATAGCAAGAATCAGTGACGAAGGGGAAGATTCTCAGTGAGATGAATTGACATAGTGGCTGCAATGGAGGGTTCAAATATAGTAAGGATTGTGGGGATGGCACAGAACTGGGGGCAGTGTTTCATCCTGTTGTACATAGTGTTTCTGTGAGTTGGAGCCAACTCAATGGCATCTAACAACAATAATTAGTGGTACTGTAGCCTTAACCACTTCCTACAAAGTTATCTTTAATTGGTTGACTAAGGAAAGTGAATCAAGGATTAGGATTTTTTTCTGCCATAACATCTTGCCTAAAAATTCCCCAGGTTTTAAATTCTCTTCCACAACATTGCTAAACTATGAAACAGTAACAAAACTGAGCTGGGACTCTTTTAATTTTCATTTAAAAAAACCCCGAAAGACAAAACTCACTGGAGTTTTTTCTTTTGTGAGTTAAGATTTCTATAATAAATTTTGTAAAAATTTGGCCTTTTTTTCATGACAGGTTTCCTTCTATAACTTTACCTTTACTCTCAACAGCTGCAGGGAAGTCAACATTTGTGAATATCCTTAAACAAGTCTGTGAGGATTGGGATGTGGTTCCTGAACCTGTTGCCAGATGGTGCAGTGTTCAAAGTACTCAAGGTGAATTTGAGGTAAGAAAATAAAATTTAAGTAAATAAACTGAAAATCTTTTAGTTTAGAGGAGCAGTGGCATTTAATTCTTGGCCTATTTATTTAGTTTTTACTCTCCAATATAAGTTTATATCTTCACATAGTTGGTAGTTACATGAGTGGATTGTATATGTATATGTATACAGGCAGTCCCTGGGTTACAGATGTCCAATTTACCAACAACTTTACCTTCAACTTGCCTTTTAATGTTATGTAAGTTTGCCCTCACCTTCAGACATTGAAACCAACCCCTGTTGTTGTTGTTGTTAAGTGCCGTCGAGTTGTTTCTGACTCATAGCGACCCCATGCACAGCAGAATGAAACACTGCCCGATCCCGCGCCAGCCCCACCATCCCTGCTATACTTGAGCCCATCATCGCAGCCACCGTATCAATCCATCTCGTTGAAGGCCTCCCCCTCTTTCGTCGACCCTCC